TTTATATATATATATATATATATATATATATATATATATATATGTGTGTGTGTGTGTGTGTGTGTATATATATACATATATATTTATATATATTTTACAAACACATATATATACACACACATAGATATACATACACACACATATATATATACACACACATACACACATATATATATACACACACATACACACGCACACACGCACACACACACACATATCTGAAAAGCATTCTACCACTGAGCTACACCTCTACCCACTTTAATCTTAAAACCCTAAATCAATTTCAGACAGATTTGTTTCTAACAAAACTAAAAGATTCTAATGTGCTGATACTTTGATAGACAGCAAAGCTCCTTTCTTCCACTCTGAGGGTCTGGTGAAGCTACTGCCAAGAACAGATCAAGACAGAAATAAAACTTTTATATAGAAAATACAAGATGAGCTTATATCCCATGAAATTCTATAGCAAACTGCTGCCAAAAAGTGACTGAGCAGGAGCTGGAGGGGAGGCTCAGTGCTGAGGAGCACTGGCTGCTCTTGCAGAGGACCCGAGGCTGGTTCCCAGGACAAGCCCCGCAGCTAACAAGCATGTGTCCCACCTTCAGTTCCAGACCTGACACCTTCGTGGCCTCCACATGCATGTGGTGCAGACATACACACAGGCCAACACACATAACATCTTCAAACGTTACTATTAGCAAAACACAGATAACTTATCTATTAGTAGCAGAAAGGGAAAAATAAAAAACCCACCACCACCATCAATAACAGAAAGCAGACAATGACCCTATTGCCCCTGACCTACCACGATCTCACTGTGCAGTTCTGGGTGGCCTCTCTATAGAGACAGTCTGGCCTCAAGTTCAGAGATCTGCTGGCCTCCACCTCCTGAATGCTAGCCTAGGATTAAAGACATGTACCCCCATGCCTAGCTCAGAGATACAATTTTAATGCTGTTAGAAGTAACACTTAAAAACTGGAAGTCTATGTTTAAGGCTTCCAAGCAAAATTAAAAAGTGAAGAATGAATTTTTACTAACCAGTATAAACCAACAAAATATACAGACAAAGCAGTTGTGCTTCCAGACTGCCTGGTGAGTCTAGACTCAGGAGCCGAAATGTTTCTCTTCTTCAGCTCCTCTACCAGTAGTCCCATGGGATTTATGATGGTCCACATCTCAAAGAGCTCTTTCCCTGTCATTTGCGTAATTAAAAAGTCCTGTGCATAAAATGAACAGTTATACATTTAAATTAGAACAAAGAATATTATGGCCAGAACTCAAAATCCCTTTTTATCATAAAAACTGGTAAGAGAATGAATGGCAGATGTACACATTAAACATGTACAGCCTGAAAATCTGAAATGCTCGAAAACTTGAAACTTTTTGTACTAAAGCATTGCTTGCAAAAGTGGAGACTATAGCGTATGTTCAGTTGCTGGCTTTGGAATTCCAGTTTAAGCTTCTCCCTCATGGACTCACACATGCAAGGCCAGCACACACTCTACCAGAGTTATACCAGAATGTCCCCATAGGCTGTCGTTTGTATTTTTTTAAAAAAACATAGAATTTAAAATGTTTCAATTTCAAACCTCGAGATAATTATGTCAAGAAATATAACCTATGAAAATTATTCAGAAGACAAACTCTTGCCTTAGAATTCAAGAGTCAAATTATTGAAATTCAAGTAGAAGAAAGCACATGTCTGTCTACTTACTAAGGACACACTCACGAGGACACGCCTTCCCTCCACGGTGGACTACATCCCCTTTTAAACCCTGAGCTAAAATAAACATTTTCTCCTTAAAAATAAACCAAAACAAAACAAAAAGCTTAAAAAGCTGAAAATAACTTAAATCTCCAGAACTCACAACCCAGCATTTATTATTTGCTTTCAGGATATTGGCAAAAGAGAACTGAAACAACAACCACAGATTACTATAAAAATGGTTTGAGCCTTTGTAAGTTTTGGGGTTAGGAATAGTCAGTTCTACCAAGGTCTAGCAAAGGAATGAATAAGAAAAAGAAATCTCCCCTCTGTCCACATCGAGCATGTCTGAAAAAGTGCAATTAACCATTACCCACCCTGATGAAGAGTGCAGCCCTTTCAGGACCACTACTCTGCAGCAGGGCTCCAATCACTGCAAAGAAAGTCCGACGTAATACAGGCAGGGGGACAGGAAATTCCGCACTGAGGGTCAACTGCTCCACAGCCAAGTTACTGGCCACGTGACAGACGACAGCCTCACCAGTAAGAAAGTTGACTAGACTCTTAATGCCTTCAGTGGGCAGGTCTGGGAACTCATCTTCAAGAAACTGTGTGAGGCACTGATGTGAAAAAGACAGCCCTTGCTCAGACAGTTCCTGATTGTCCTTAAGATTCAGAAGAGCAGCTTCTTTCCCTATGCCAAGGTTCTGACGTTTCGCCTCTTCGCTTTTAATGTAGCAACTATTGATAAATGCAGTTTTGAGAACGTCCAGCGAAAAGGTTTCTTGTAAGCGAGGTCCAAAGGCTTGTATCTCCGCATGGTAATCCCAGTTTGGCTTTTCTGAGCTGAGGAGGCAGAGACAGTGAGAGATGGTAAGTAGGATGGCATGGTACCATGTACGATGTGTTCTAACTTTATGACATAAAGGAACACAGTAAAGTTTGTTTCTTTTATTGTCAGGTTCTTAAAATACCCACCTGTCTATTGGACAAGGGAATGTTAAATGAAGATGTGATTCTGAATTTTGCTTATTAAGCCACAATACTTTCTAATAGAAGGTGTGTTCTCACTGGTATTAGTGTAAAGAGGATCAATACTCTCCTGCAGGGCAATATTAAAGTAGTAATCAAAATTTCAGCTCAGGAATAACTAGCTAAGTAGAGACAGCTCCCGCTTCTTTGGTGTACTAACAATGGAAGTCAGGGTAACTGTAAGAATGAAGTCGATCTTCATGTACTTTTGTTCACAAAGACGAAGTATACAGAAAGTGCATGATACAGGATCATATATAAGCATGATGCACTTTATAAAAACGTGGTTGTTTTTTTTTTTAATTTGCCCTCCCACCCCAAGCAACAGACTAATTAATCAAAAACCTAAACTTTTACCCTCTTACTTCGGGCAGTGGACACGAAATTCAGTTCCACACAGAACGACATTTTTCTGCCCTGGTATGCAAAGCTGTGGAATGAACGACCTTATTCCTCTTAAACGTACTCTGACAAAATTGGGCCATTTCCAATCCCAAGCAGTTACCCTTTGGCCGACCTCATTTGTTTATTTTCGGCTAGTGAGATTCTGCCGGGGACAGCCCGGCCTCTGTCGCCCAGTTCCTCTGCCCCAGGCCGCTTGCGGACACGTCCCCACTGCAGTTGCAGGCAGGCAGCTGCAGCCCAGCGTCCTCACTGCCACCTTAGCCATTCGACCCTCCCGAGACGCCTACCGTCGCACGGGCGGCGGCGGGCAGCGTAGCAGGCGCCGTCGCTCCAGCTCCTTCTGGAAGCGGTAGGCGGCACGGAATCCCTTCAGCACTCTCCGAACCGGAGGAGCCAGCGTGGGGAGGGCTGGAGCCAAGAGGCGGCGAGGGCCCTGCTGCAGCAGCCGGAACACAGCAGAAGCCATGGCAAAAAACAAGGCAATGGGAGGCGGAAGGAAGACAGCCGGAGCGGTGTAGCCAGGACGCAGGTCCCAGGAAACTGGTGTAGCAGCAGAGAAAGGCCCCGAGCACTAAAGGACACCCAAGAGGGCCAGCACAATGCGCATGCGCAAGCGCTTCCCCCTCCCCCCCTTCTGTAAATGTGAGTGCAGAAATTACTGGGAAACATGGGAAACAGTTGCTTGACCCTGTCAGTCTCTCGTGTTTATTTCTCATTAAAGCAAAACAAAAACTAGTTTCGTTTTAATACAAAGGCAACAATGCCCCTGCAGTCACCCAGTGTAGACTCCAGGGTCTTCAATTGTGCCTGCTTTCACAAATAGCTTGTTCTGGTTACTAAATTATTTTTTAATTTATTTCCAAGGTAGATGTCACCTTTCCTCTCTCTGGTTATTGTAATTGGTTTCCAAACGAGACTAGTATCTCTCTTCCTGTCCAGGACATGCATTTTCATCTGCTTTGAAATAAAGACCAAGATATTGGACTTTATTATTACTGCCTAGTTAGATCTTCAATGCTAGGACTGTGCAGCCCAGTTTGAGCTTCTTCAAGATGGAGAATCTGAATGGATTATTTAAACCTATAAAAGGTCTTCCAATAGATAACCAGTTGAAGAAAATTCTCTAAAAGAGATGAAAAATGGTATTAAAAGCATTGAAAATTCGTGGACCATCCAATAAGTGGGTTCAAGTCAACCACAGGGAATTTTCATTTCTGCAATATTTCATTTATTGGTAGAAATAATCTGAAGCTGGTTGATGTAACTGATGAACCAGCCTGCCTACATCATAGACTTGAAAGCCGTCTTACAGTAAAGACAAACTACTTTTGAGCCTGTGTATGATTAAATCTCTGCTTCTCAAGGATGGGGGTATGCCCCACCAGTCACCTTAACTACAAATGGTTCTGTACCACCTATTCCAGGGAATAGTAACCATATCTTTGTTTCAAAAGGTTATTGTGACCACCTGTTGTTATGACTGCTTTGCTATGACCACCTTGCAACCGTATCTTTGTTTCAGGAGGTTATTGCAACCAATTTGTTTTGCTCATGTTCTGCTTCTGTAACTCTGCCTATTTGCCTCCCTCCCCCCGCCCCCAATTTGGAAACTCCTGGACTACAAAAAAAAAAAAAATCCCTTATCTTCCCTAGATCTCATACTGATCTCTTGAACCCCACCTTTATTGAGAGACAGCCATTGTACACAAATTTTAAAGGCTTGCTTTAATTAGTTGCTTTCTTAAATTAATTTGGCCATAATGGTTTGAGTTGGGGAGTCTTTCGCCTCACATCTGTGGGATTAACAGAAATCTCGAGCCTAATAAATTTAATGAAGGAGTTCCACACACAACAAGAGTTCCCCTTCAGAGCCCAGATCAGGAACAAACCACACCCAAACACCTGTTTTCACAGAGACATCCTTTATTAAGTGGAGAAGAAAAGTTAAAGTCGCTGCTTTCTGACTCAGGCAGAAAAACAGTAGCAAATGTTGTAGTTTACTTTTTAAACAGAGAGGGCTGTGTTAGGATGGATAATACATTTTAATTGGGCATTTTAATTAGATGAGCCAACGGGAGCTTATGATTGCTGGGCTTGAATAATTAGGTAGCTGGACCCTGGTAGTCAGCCTCAGGAGGAGAAAGTGACCAAATTAAAAAAAACAAAAACAAAAAAAAAAAAACAGACCTTCGTGGCTAGCTTTAGGAATGTAGTCTAATGGTTTTTAGCAAGGCAGAGGGGATGGAGAGGAAGGGCAAGGCCTGCCGGAGCCGGGCTGGCAACAGTCCTTTCAGTTTAAGTGTTGTCTCTATGTGCAGAGGCTCTCAGCGATAACTATAAAAATAACCTGTAATGTCTCAAGCAGTTTCTCCCACTAATGCCCCACATGAAACTCAGAATTAACATCTGTATTCAGCTTGCTGTCGTTCCACTGGTGTAATCACTTAACACTAGTAAAGGCTTATTTGGTGTGGTGGCTATTCTTGGTGGTCAACTTGACTACATATGGATTTAACTAAAGCACAGATGATTGGACACTTCTGTGAGGGATTTTTTTCGTACTTAAATTATTTGAAATGAGAAATTTCACTTCTAATCCAGAGTTTTGAAGTGGGAAGATCCACCTTTAATCTGTGCCACACCTTCTGCTGGCAGCCTATACAAAGGACACGGAGGAAGAAACCCACTTTCTCTGTCTGATTGCTCTTGCTCTTGCTGGCAAGTCAACCTTTTCACTGGTGTTAGAGCCCACTTCTTTGGGATTTCAGCATATACTAAAGCCAAGCTGAGACATCCAGCCTTGTGGATTGAACACCTTTGGATTCTTGGGCCTTCTGTTCATAGGCAGCTATTATTGAATTAGTTGAACCACAGCCTATGTACCATTCTAATAAATGCCCCTTCTCTATTATAGAGAGATCCACTCTAAGTTGTTGTAAGTTTTTGTTTTGTTTTGTTTTGTTTTGTTTTGTTTTGTTTTTTGAGATTTCATTTTATGAACAGACACAATAATTGCTTTTGAACTCACGGTAAGGCCGTAACTCAACTAACTCAACATGGAGGAGTGTATAATGGCACACTGCTTGTTCATGTCATGCCTAAGACATAAGAAAGAGTTCATTGAAGAGAAAAGGGCTGAGGACCTAGAATTTCCTTCAAAGGCCCATCCCTAAAGACTGTCAATCTCCTACTAGGCCTCAACAAATAAAGGTTCCACTATTGTTTAGTAGTACAATCGACTACTGACCAAACTTTTATCACATAAGCTTTGGAGGGATACTACAAATCTCAACATAGAAAACTTGAGTTTTAAAAATTGCATTTCAATGAACATAGTAAGAAGACAAATACTCGGATCCATAATCCAGTCCCCAAAACTTGAAGGGAGAAAAAAGTCATCTTTCTCTTAAAAACTTCATTAAGAAAATAATCTACTGTTCTTCCTAAGTTTTAAAAGATTTATTTACTTTTGTACTTTATGTGTTCGGGTGTTTTGTGTGTATGCACATTTGCACACCAGAAGAGGGCATTGGTTCCCATGGGAATACAGTCATAGATGGTTGTGAGTCATCATGTGGATGGCTGGGAATTGAACTCAGGATCTCTGAAATAGCAGCAGCCAGTGCTCTTAAATACGGAACCATCCCAATTTGATCAAAGCTTTACCAGTTGTCAACACTGATTTCCAGTTGGTCAGCATCAGGTGAACAGTGGGCAGAGTCATGTTGAGAAAGAAGAGGGAGTGAGGTAATGAGAATTCGCTTTAGCCATTGGAGTATACTTTACCCTTTAATGTTGTTATATTGGGGACCTTGCTTACTCAGTCCTTCAGTGATGGTGTGGGCAGTTGGTACACAGTGCACAAAAAGGCAAAAAAATAACAAAAGAGGTGATGTCTGTAGTTGGCTTGCCTGCAAACTAGCAATCTCAACCATTCGAAGTCAGTAAATCCCTTGTATTAGCTAAGGAATCAGATCCAAAATGTCCTTTAAACTCCCTCATGAAGAAAACTGCAAATAGATATAATTGCCATAAAATAAAGACTAGACTTAAAACTGCTTAAAAACAAGAGTAACTAAGTCTTGACAAGGAATTAAGTCTATTCTCCTTAAGTTATGTTTGTAAAATCTAGTTTTAGGAAAGTTAACTCTAGATATAGAAGCCACAGTGGAAAACTAGTAAAGCTCATTAGTGGTTCACGATGATCTGGAATTCCATTTCTAAGGGATCTGATGCCCTCTTCTGGTCACTGCAGGCACAACTGCAGTATCCAATACACATAAAATGATAAAATAAATAAATCTTTAAAAACCTATAAATGTTTGTATAAATCTGATGTAAGCATTGTAATATATAATTATACTGCAAAAGTCTTGATGTGGTCATAGTTACAAAGACCTTCTGCATGAAATAGCTGTGTTGAGGAAACCCCTATAGAAGTGGGGTGACCAGCGCCAGCCAATACCGTGAGTAAAACCTCAGGAGCAGATACTCTTCTCTTACATCCTAGATTTTTAGAGGCTATGTTTTACGTTATATATTTTAGAGTAATTTGTTACTTGGGGTCAAACCAATTGGATGAAATGGCAATATAACAAATACTCAACATGGAATGTATCAGCCGGCTACACCGTATGCTGAGTGACAGCTGCGGTAACATGTCAGGGTCCAGCTGAGTTCTCAGCTTCCTCCCACTCAGGGTGTTCAGACGTGGCTGCACACAGACTGGAAGGATGAAGGGGAATCCTGAACAGGCAGGGTCTGCTGGATCACTGTCCAGCTAGGAGTGAGTGCTTGAGTGCTGGGGACAGGGGACACAAGGGGACAGGGGACAGGACTGGGGGTGGGGCTTCTCTGAGGATCTTAGTGTTAGCGCTGTTTTAGCCTTCTCCAATGGTCTTCAGTGAAACAGCTCTCTTAGACAATCTTAGCTTTCGTGCATATCTTTATTTGGGGTGGGCCTGTACACATACACCTTATTGGGTGAACCAGGGCTATATATGAACCTTGGAGAGTGGAAAGGGGTTCTTCTCAGGTGAAGTTTCTTTGGCTAGAGTTTAAAGTATTGGGGACTATCTCTTTCGTATTCCAAGAATCCCTGCTGGGCAGGTTCTTATGGTGCTTCGGGGGAGGAAGTTGAACTTGTAAGTCTACCAGGGTCTATTTTGGCCTTGCCCAGGTAGAGGGTATGGGAGATGAAGCTCCTAAACCAAACAAGGTCAAAGAAGGGGAAGCCATGCCGGTAAAGGGAGTCCTCCATTTTGCACTGAGCGCAGAGGAGCTATGTGGTCCTGGTAGACTTCAACCTTAATTAGCATGGTGTCCCCACAATTCCATATTTCAGAAATATATTGAAAGGTAGGTTCTAGATGGGTACAGATTTGCTAAATGTGGAAGAAATGAGAAAATAAATGTTCTGTAGCTTGTACAAAGTCAAAAGGCAAGAATTACTAAGACTTGGTAGAGCTGAAAGGAGGGTTACCTGGAGTGAACTGATAGTGGACATTGAACAGTTGAGAGGGCAAGCAAATTTATTATGTTCATAGAAGCAAATCACAAAGCATAATTTCCCACTAGCCCAGT